AATTTTTTGCCCTTGCGCCAAGAACAGAAGAACGTGAATGCAATGTTTAAAATGTGAAAACATTCTGTGCCAAGAACACATGAATGTATTTCGTTCAAAGTGTGAAGAAATAAAATAAGCATGGTGTATTAGAGATGCAATGAAACTTAGAGGCATGATGTTTATTTTTTATTATTTTCATTTATCTTAATTTTAACTCTAAGATTATTTCGTAAATTAATTTTTTTGAAACCCAATTATTATTCACTTATTTATAATACACGAGAACAAAAAAAAAGGTTTTAAAACTAAATAATATTATTTTTATAATATTTTAAATATTGGGGTATGTGATACCCCACGCGCCCATTCTGGTAATTTTTCTTGGTGCGACTTCCGCCGGGTTAATATTAAATGACGTCTTATCATGTCGAATTCAAATAAGTTTGCAGGAAAAGGCCTCTTTTTTAAATGTAGCGACGAAAAATGTAATATCAACAGAACTATATATTGTATTTTAGACAAAACTATTTGAGATTGTTGCTGTTCTTTCAAATTAAAAAATAAAGAAACTAACGAAAGAAGTGATAATTATAACATTTTAATGACTTAAAGTTCTGTATTGACCTTTTGTGGCAATACATCCAGAAGAGCATAATGAAAACCCTCCGTTTTCTGCACTGAATTTCAGAGCTAAATTTGTTTATGCGCAATCAAAATGATCTCATGATAGAAGGCATAAAGATGGTTTCATTAAAAATATCAAATCTAATACTAAACGATAAACATATGCATGCTATATTTATATTATTAGCTTCATATTTAAAGTAGAATTGAATAAGGTAGTTGCTGAAACTTATTAGTAAAGTAGTGCGTAAATATTTATCCTAAGATAAATCAAATTATTCAATAAAAATTCCTTTTCATTAAATAATTCACCTCAACAATAACACATTTTCAAAATAATAGTTTCGTAATTTCCGTCTTCGTAAATGTTAAAATCAAAATTCAGATAGACATTTTGGTCAAAATATAACTGCCCATAATTTTCTCATATAATCAGAAATTTACAGCGTTTATATATGAAGTGTATTTGTCTCATTGCTTTATGAAGTAACGCTTTATAAACTATCTTCTTAACAACTAAACGTTTTATCTAAAGGCAAGAGTTTACAGTGGCGCCGGTGTACTGACATGGATGCAGAATAACTTTAAAAGGATAAAAAAATATATCCTTTTGTAATGCGTGATTAAATTCTTTGCTTCCACATTTTATTCGGGAACGCCCTTCATAGGAAATTGTTTCCTACTGATAACGTTTCCCTGCAAAATGAGAATCTAGTAATAACAAAATCTAGTATAGATGCGTAACTGTGTTGCTTATATTTTTACTATATACTTCTTTATTGATTTGTATGTCGGTAGTGGTTTCATTCACGTGTAAATAATATCAAAAATCTACCTCTTCTTGATTCATATAGATATTTAAGCTTTTAGTTATTAAGTTAGACAGTAATTTCATTTGACCCAAAAAAAATATTTAAGTACAATTAAACCATGAGTTAATAAGGTATCAGACGGATAATTCATGAAAATGGTTAACACAATTTTTTAAAATATTAATTCTTTATTAAACATATATTTCATGATAGACAACTGAAATTTCAAACAAATTACCACAAATCAATCAACATGGTTTCTGAAAGAGAATACATATATAAATCTGAGTAAGGTTACTTTTAATCATGAATTAATTCTTTATTCCAGGTTTTGATTTAGTTGTGAAATGGATAACGTCTTAAGTCACACAAAATTAAGTGCTGCGTTACTAAGTTCAGACATGTGTGTAAAAACCGTGAAATATTCCTTTTACGTATTCTTAATTCAATTTTTTTTTCCTTTTGGAACATTCAAATTACAAATCGAATTTTTACAAAATTTTTTATTAAATAAAACAAAGTAAATATGATATTACACTTTGCTCGTAAGTATTTGGCTTGTATTTTTACATGCTTTCATAATAAAAGAATAATGTACATAATAAAATAACAACTGAATTCGATATTGAAATAAATTATCTTTTAATAAATATATGAGAGTTCATCATTTTCTCTTGAAAACGTAATGAGTTTATAATGTATATATTTCTTTAGAAAATTATTTCTATTTAATATTTAAACATTAATATAATGTTTTGTTATAATTCATCTTCCTGACTACTGCAAATTTAAATAAACTTTGCTCCTAGATTTATTTCAAAGGAACATGTTGAAAAGCGAGACAAAAATGTTTTTTTATTTATTTATTAAAAACCTAAATTTTCGAGATTTCTACTCACGGTACTTCTGTCTGAAACTTTCATTACCTTTGTGAAGTAAAACACTCGTTCATCACAAAATACTGCTATATATTTAAATGTGTAGCCAGAAAAAAAATCATTACATAGATCATTGTCTGGCATTTAAAGAAACTACTTAGCATTATTATATACGAAACGTTCACACTCATATCGAAATTCGCACTTCTTAAATAATGAATATTATGAGTACATAATTTATAAAACATAATGACATTTCACGAAGTAACTTAAAAATGGAAGTTGTACTTATGAAGGAAAACCAAATGCATTTTCAATTAAAGATACGAACTGTAAATTTGGTAGAAGTACTTTTGTAATTATAATACATAATAAAGAATATGAAATTTTAAGTGAGGAGAAGTAGAAAAAGTATATCCATAATTCAAAATCTTCTAAAAATCTAAAATCAATTATTAAAATATTAATAAATATTTAAAAATTTGGTCATAAAGCAACTGGTAAAATAAACTGAATCTTCTGAACTTAAAAAAATATAGTTTACGCATTTGCGAATAATATTTGCAATACTGGAAACATTAAGACATTAAAAGTTATGAAGCATCATTCCAACTTCAGACACATTGATCTAAAACAGTAAAGGTATCTTCTTTACTTTCTTACAAACTAAGCGAAGGGGGGAAAGGCAAGATGGGGCGAAAATACTGTGCACAAGGAAATTACCTACAAGAGGAGGAAAAAAATCAATCTTTACTCACCTTCGCTGTCTTTTTCTTCGTCAGCAGAGCTTGTTATCAGAAGACTCGCACACATCACGAAACTCACTGCAAAGTTGAAACGCATCAAATCTAAACCCATTGATGTCAAGATAAACGAAGGAAAATTTCACTTCCGATGTCTCTCAGGCGGGAAAATAACCATTAGTGGAAAACTTAAAAATTAAACAAAAAACCCAATTTCCACAAAAAAGAAATATTTAAAAAATCGTCACAAGCGACTTAAATTATAAAACTCCAAGAATTGTCCACAGAATAATCTCCCCAAGTCAAGTTAACAGTTGAACTTTTCACCAAGCCATCGCTACACCAATAGCAACTTTTTAATTCTTTTTTCCCCACAAATGCTAGCAAGATTTAAAGTTAAGGATTCCGCAAGTATGCTGTTGGCTGTCCGAAACAGGGCACAACTGCAATCTCTCTGGCTGCCGAATAGCTTCCGAGGTGTGCAGCCACTAGCGCCTCCTGGTGGAAGATTTGACATCAATTCTTTCTGAGTGGCGTGACGATTTTGAGCATCGGAAGGCTACGGATCTTGGGCGTTCCCAAGGCGCCCGCTATTAAATCTAAGAAAAGGTGGGCTAATAAAGCAAAGAGTATTTCTCGCTTTAAAATTGTTGACGCTTTCATATAACGCATCATTTTGGTTATATTTTTTAAATACCTTCGCTCCTACTTTAGCCATAATCATATAGCAACTGTAAAGGTCTCTGCACAATCTTTAGCTCGAGTTTACGTCTTTCTCATATTGTTCCAGCTTAAAAGAAATCTTTAGAAGAAAATGATACAAATTGAACCTAGTTGAACCCATCTGTTCTAATATGAGATATTTTCAGATTTGCATTAAATGAATAAATAAAATCAGAGAAATTTTACTCTCTAATTAAAGCTGCTTGGATTGTTAAAGATATATTAGAATTTTAACACATTAGAAGCCGAATATACAATGCATGAAAACATATATATTTGACATACAAATATAGCACAATATATAAAATTCAACAATGTGAAGGAGAAGAGCAATAATCACGGAAAGAATAAAGTGAAACATTCACTGTTAAGAAGAAAATTCCGTTATGTGACAAACTGCCATTAGTACAATGCACATAATTCTCTCACTAGCTATCAATATATGTATCTGAATTTGCTTTTATTAATACATATGATAGCAGCGTAATTATTTATTTCTTGAATCGGGTATACTTATGAGTAATTTAAGTATAATAAATGCATCATTTCTTAATGCTTCATTTCATACCATCTGCACATAATGTTATACAATTATTCTTAAGTTATTTGTAAAAGTATTACATTTATGAATTCTTAATCGGAGAAGGAAAAATGTGAAAAACGGTATCAAGCATCATTTTTATTATTTTTGAATATTAATGTTTATTTCAATATTATAAATTTTATTTTATATGAGACAAAATTTATGTTACAAAATAGAGCAAAAACTCTTTAATAATTTTATACGAATCTACACCTATACAGACGTTAATTATATTACAGTGCTTAAGAATAAAACCTCAAGAAGAAAATTACTGAAATCATTTTTGCAGTACAATGAAAAACCGACTTTATTGAGTATCTGCTGTATTTTCACTACATAGAAGCTGCATATATTTATGCTATATATTTATGTACATTGTACAGAAGCTGTGTTTAACATAGATCATACAAACTTATTTCTCATATCTGTGTCAGACAAATGTATTTCAGAATCCTTAAAAATTTTTTAATTCATTCTTATCATTGAGACTTGCGTTAACATAATTGTATTGAAAATACGTTTCTGTGCTGTGTTTCTGTATTACCTACACGAATCGGTAATCATACGATGGTATTCAATAATAGCAAATAAAAATTATGCAAGCAGTAATAAAAAAAGTATAACAACAAAATCTGTAAAACGGGTTTCTTTATAGATATAACAATGTTGCAGGAAAGCAAACATTTGTGGCAAACTAGCAGATTCGCCGCCGACAGCACCTTTTTAGCTGGAGTCCACAATAGGTGAGTCTGCGTCGTTTCTAATTCTGCAAAAATTTTTAAATGTATATATAATCAGCAATGACTTGGTCTTTCATATATATATATATAATATATTTATATTTATATAATAACTAAATTTTTATTTAAATTAGCATGTCTTTGTTTAGCATATAAAATTAAATATTGAATGAAAAGTAAAAAAAAAATAATAATAATAATCTGAAAGAGCTCATAATTTTACTGTCGCCCAAAAGGGTTTGATAAGGTTTTCTACTAAAGAAAAAATTAATAATTAATGTTAAAAACTTATTTTTGCAATGTGAAGCCAAGACGATAATTCATATGCATTCATTTACTTTTAAACGAAAGTTTCGGATTTTAAGTACATTCAATGGACTTCGTGATTTAGATAATTAAAGTATGTTGTCCCAGTAAAAGACCTCGTAACGACACCCAGTTAACCATTAACCACATGATCAAAATATCGGCATATTTGAAGATTTAAATTCGAAATTTAACTTATGCCATAAAGTATGCAATGAATGCATAATGTGAAGACATAAACGAGGATAGCATTTTTATTATTTCTTTGCCATATACCGTAACAAACCTCATCCAATTAACGAATCAAGGAGCTCTTCAGAATATAAAGCTAAACTGTGTATCATTTTTATGTGTGAATGGGTGAACGCTGAAGGTAATATCCATGATTCTCAGACACAATTCATATTGAAACACCTCATATTCACTTCCCTTTCACTGAAAAATTCAAAGAATATTAAATTTTCCTGCTGATATGTATTGTGACATGTGATTATACTCGCAGACGACGATTCGAGTGACAGAGGTTGTCTTAGATTTAAACATGTCCAGCGTCAGTATCTGACATTTTAGATTTCGTAACTTGTTAGGAGAAGTTTATTATAAGTGAAGAGGAGGTGCAGACTTAGTTGTAGAAAATTCCGTTTCAAAGCCATCTAAGAATGAAGCTCTTAGAATTTCAGTGACGAAATAATTGTATATGGTTTGCGAAATGAGCATGATTAAGAAGAGGATGCTATAGATGAAAGCGACATTCAGAGCAAGAATGGACAGATGCAGTATAAAGATTGTAGATTTGCTGAGCTATGCTTAATCTCTGCTAGCGCATGATGTCACGAAGCTGCACTATACGCACAGCGAATTTTTTAAACTCCGGTGACAATAATGGCAGACATTCGAAGTTATATGTCATCACATTAAACCTTTGCCGGCTCACGTGATACTATACATGGAAATTTTAAAACGTATTTAAATACTTAATATGTGCAAATGTCTATGGTATTTATTTAACGATACCCGATAGCTTGGAAAAATATCAACAGAATTTGCATACTGCTATCGCTAGGGATCGCATCACAGCATGAAACTTTTAAGTCTTGAAAATAATATAAACTTAGCCGAAAATTTTATTATTTGGAATCCGTGAGGTCTTATTGCTGCTAGTTATGACACACTTTGCTGTATATTCCATAACTGTCACTTGTCGCGCCGGATAGTAGAATAATCTTCAAAATTTGTGTTTCCAGATAGATAGGTGCAGAGAATATACAGAGTGTAAAACGTTTTGCCAACTGAATTTACTTGTTCATAGGATTTTCTAAATGAACAAAAACATTTCGGTATGAGAATGTTCATGCGTATAGTAACTAATATAGATTAGAAACATGTACAAAATGCTTCCAGATAACACCTTAGCAAAATATTTATTGGTATGGTTCAATATCTAAAATAAAATATTAATATATACACGGTATAATGAAAACTTTTCAAACGTCGCATAAAATGTGCACCTACAAACTCTTTCACAATGTCATATTCGAAAGAATACATTAACAAAAATGTATAACATTCCGAACGATTAAGCTTCAGACGGATATTGCAAAGTTTTTGTATGAATTAAATGCATTAGAATAATAAAAAAGTTAAATGATGACCGTTTCTAATTAGCAAATTCACTGAGAAGATTTCGCACCACTTGATCCAGATTCGTCAGTTACCTTTCTGTGAAACTTTAAAAAAAACTACATTTGCATTAACATAAAAGAGCAAATTTTATATACAGTATTACCTAAAGCATCGGCAGTCAGACAATGAGATTCAATAAAAGCAATAAAACATAATACAAGCAGTATTTAAAAACTTTAAATAAAAACTGAATCTGTAAAACGGGTTTCCTTGTAAATATAGCAATGTTGAAGGAAAGCAAACCTATGTCACGTTACTAGCAGATTTTCCGCCGGCGGCATTTTTTCAGCTGAAGTAGAGTCCACAATAAGTGAGTCTGCCTTGTATCTGATTCTGTAAAAATTTTAAAATTTATACGTAATTAATAAAGCCAGGGCCTCTTCTATATGCTCACAGAATAAAAAAGTTTGATTTAAATTTGCATTAGTTGTTATTAAGCGCAAATTGTTAAATATTAGGTAGAAAATAAAAAATGAGAAAAAAATCTAAAAGGTCTCCGAATTTTACGATCATCCAAAGGAGTTTGTTAGGGTTTTCTACGCTTTCCTTGAGTTCGCAATCTACCAGTCTGCTATAGCACACCCTCCTGCTAACCCATTTCTGTTTGTCTTTTTATCTTTATTATTAAACATAATTTTTTTCTCACTAACAACATATAATATTCAACAGCATAATTTCAAAACGTTTAAAAGCAGCATGTGTTTAGAATTACCGATGGCATGTTAAGTATTGGCACATATTTTTCTATTTTTTTCAGTCTTTTCTTAGTTTATCGTATCAATCTACACTTAAGATCGACACATAATCTACACTTAGTCTACACAATCTACACTTAATCTACACTTAATCTACACTGATAAGATGGCTTGCAAAACCTTTCCGGTTCTTTTATTATTATTATTATTAAAACTTTGTGTGTTAAATTTCTTAATTTTCGCACTTATGCAACATAAAAGTGGGTTGAATGGAAAACTCACAAAACATTTAGAAACGGCATATTTTTAGAATTTCCGATATACAGTCCCGCGAGCTACAGACGGCAATGCTTTAATCCTTACAGTGTTGCACTGCCGGCTTTCAAATCGAAACGTTTGCTGAAAATTCCAGTTTCACAAAATATGAAATACAAAATTCGAAATTCAAATTGGGTCGTCCAAGTTCACATGTTCGGGTGGAGGACTATGCTATTCAAAATTTTATGGTCCTTGGTACAGTAATTTTTTTTTGGTGTTAGAAACATACATACATTCATGCAGATTCTATTTAATAATTTTAAGTAATATAAAGAGGGAACATTTTGTGGCAACAATGTGAAAAGTGATTCAGATATTTAAAGTGATGCACAGCGAAAACCCGTTTCGAGATTAATAGCCTATTCGGGCTGACTCTCTTTTGAGCTAATAAGAGAAAAGAAATTGCAAACTATTTTTTTTAGATTGTAGTTTATCAACTTAACACTGACATAGATTTACAAACAAAAACAATTACGGTGTAAAGTAAATAGGTTAATTGGGAGCAGAAAAGATGAAAAATATGCAACCGCCTACGCCGGGAATCGAACCACGGACCTCTGAAATACCGGCTTAGTGTGCAGAACCACTACACCAAGAAGGACGCTAGGAAAGCGGGAGAAATACCTTATATACTCCCCATTTTAAAGGGTGACTAGGGTTTTAGGGGACCTAGTCGCCAGATCCTGGGTGTGCAGAATCATCATCTACAACCCTTTTAGTTCGGGCGCCACTTGTAGAGTCATTAGGTAAATTGGAAGCAGAAAAGATGAAAAATATGCAACCACCTTCGCCGGGAATCGAACCACGGACCTCTGAAATATACCGGCTCAGTGTGCAGAACCACTACACCACGAAGGACGCTAGGAAAGCGGGAGAAATACTACCTTATAACGGTGAGACACGTGAAATCAAATAAGAGCCATTTAATTAAAATTTTCAATTAATTAATATTTTTTAAATTAAAAGGTACTTACGGTTTGCTGTATAAGGCATGTAAACTAATAACAATGGATGGAAATAAAATAGTATATTTATAATATATGTGTTAGCAAGATTTCCTGATCATGGAAGATTCTGGGCGAATCTGTTGACAAATTCGTCACATTAATTTATGATAAATCTTTGATACTTACAGCTGTTTCCATATTATTCCATATTAGCAATTCCCGTCTTTTGATGCGCTTTTACAGCAGCTTTAAATAGGTCCAGAAAGGGGCCTGAAAAGTAAACAGTCAACCATATGAGTTCCTGTAATTAGATAACGATGATAATCCAAGAATTAAAACGGAATATTTTATCTCGCTTTATTCTCAGCATAGTGATCAGATGAGTTGGCGTCTTGATAAGAGAACCCACTGGAAGCTGAGCTAATTCCGGTGCCGTCTCTCTCGCCGAATCAGACAGACATAGACATAGCTCGCAATATACGGCACGGATACAATTTAAATTAATGGCAGTGAATAAAATAAAAGAGATACCAAATACATAATAGCCCGAAATGAGGGAAAAGGGCACATAAAATGAATATATCAAATGTTAGGTGCTACGAGTTAAATAAATATCTTTATCATGCGTTATGATACAGTTCTGAAATTCCTGCAATTTATTTTTTGGATTTCTGCATCCAGAGAAGAAGTATGATAGGAGAACACTCCATTCTAAGTTGAACGTTTTACGGTGTGGTTATTGATTTACGACCTACCTGCTTTCGTCTGAAGAGGTTTGATTAGTATTGCCGACTTCCATGTTTCTGGAGTCTTTTATCATGGATAAAACACAATGAGTTACGCTATGACAAACATGGCTTCCTTTAGCCTCCGGAAGAGCTATAGTGTGAAATCTCTTCTTTGCGTAGGAATGGCTGTGGGTATTCATAGGGTCCGCACAGATGTTAGTTTGTATTTGGCATGAATTATAACTTACAACAAGTATATCCCTACGGTTGGCATATTCATTCAGTTCTGATTAGGGCTTTTTCACTTGTTTTTTATCCGTGGCTTGTTCAAAGCTTGACGCAGATTTCTGAATGCCCAGTGTGCGTAATAAAGGTCTGGCAGCCGAAGCTCTGCGTGTGTCTGGACCAAAGACTGTACGACTTCACTTGTATCTTCAGGATTTATGAGTTGTTACAGACTGAAGATGGTATTAGCCTTGTCATTTCTGCTAAGGGCGACTAGGAATAAGGGCGTCTTAATCCTAACCTTATAGTCGGCTGTTTAAGTCTTAAAACAAAAACAAATAAGCAAGCAATACATTGTTAATGACGAAAGATTGGTACGTGAAAGAAAACTCTGTAAAACCATCTTGCGTTTTCTTTAATATCAAACAAAATATAAGTATGTAAGTTGATATCTTTGCTGTCTAACAGTGCAGTGATTTGCTTATGAACATTTGTCTCAAAGATTCTAATAGAAAATTCTATGCCACTGTAAAGACATTAGGTTATCTTGGAAGCAGAAGACATGAAAAATGAGTCGAATCGTGCACCTCTGGAATACGCACCCAGAGAGCAGGCCACAACACCATGAAGGCATGCCAAGAAGGCGAGAGAAATACCTTATATACCAATAATATTTTTAGGAGACCCAATCGACAAATCTTGGTGGCGAAGTGCCATCATTAGCCACATTTTAGTTCAAGCGCCACTGTAAAGACATTAGGTTATCTTGGAAGCAGAAGACATGAACAATGAGCAACGCCTTCGCCGGGAATCGAATCGTGTACCTCTGGAATACGCACCCAGAGAGCAGGCCACAACACCATGAAGGCATGCCAAGAAGGCGAGAGAAATACCTTATATACCAATAATATTTTTAGGGGTTTTCAGGAGACCCAATCGACAAATCTTGGTGGCGAAGTGCCATCATTAGCCACATTTTAGTTCAAGCGCCACTGTAAAGACATTAGGTTATTTTGAAAGCAGAAGGCATGAAAAATCAGCAACTCCTTCGCCGGGAATCGAACGGCGAACTTCTGGAATACTCGCGCAGCGTGCAGACCACCACACCACGAAGGCATGCCAAGAAGGCGGGAGAAATACGTTATACCCAATAAATTTTTATTTTAGTATCTAACTTAGTATCCTTTGATACTTTTGGGTACTTATGCATTTTGCCGTCGATTTTGAAATTTGCAGGAGACCCACGTGCGCTAATTATTCAGACATTAGAGTCGAAAGGAACACATTGTTTAGTTACATATTCACAGATTATTCTTTGCTTAATTGAGTAATCAGCATATACAAACTACTGTTATTGTATGTAAAATAGCATAGCAAATTATGTGATCAAATATTACAATTATGTGACAAACAAATTAATTGAATTTAGCATAAATCATTTCGGCTACCAAAGATGCTTAACACTATTTAGAATAGCAAAAACATTTTCACTTTCTTGCGAACTCGATATCACATAAATTCGCTTAATACCAATATATATAATATCGCGCGCTTTCGTGTTTTCTTTTATTCAGATATTTTACCAGAAGACACAGTCTTACAGTTTTCCTTGTATCGAGCTACAATATAATGAATGCCTTAAGGGGACTCATACACCTTAAAACCCATAAGATGTTCGAATAGGTGACTGTCGCAAGAATTGGGATAACTTATTTATTTTAAAAGCAATTACTACCAAATTTTTACAGCTGACTACATAATGTAGCTGCTTTCTGAAATAGTAATCAGAAAGTTTGTGTTGCCACAAATATTTTTATAATTTAATCCGCTTTGTGACAATATTTTTCGTCATGTTTCCAAATTGCGCGCACAGTTTAAAACATTCTGTTTCATAATTTAATTCCATACTTAATATACAGCTTTTATAACATTTGAAAACTACTGTGAACCTAAAATTCTAAAAAATTTTATGTTAAATTTTTATTTTATTTGGAGTTGAGTTTATAAAATGTATTTTAATTTCAAGTATATACTATTAGCCACTTTTAAAATATCATGCGCGCAAGATAGTAACATGGCGAAATATTTTGTCACGAAGATGATTAAATTACAAAATTATTTGTGGCAACACAAACTTTCTGGTTACTAGTTTCCAAAGCAGCTATATATATAGTCAGCTGTAAAAAGTTGGAAGTAATTGCTTTTAAAATAAATAATATATCTCAATTCCTGCAACAGTCACATATTCGAAGATCATGAGGGGGTTTAAGGTGTATCAGTTCCCTTAATTTTGAAAACACTCCATGACTTTCCGTTCTATAACAAGAAGCCAAAATTTAATAATTTTTTCAAATGCAAGGATAGAAATATAGTACTGTTCATCCTTCTTAACATAACGTAAACTGGCTTAATGAAGTTAAAGGTTACATAAAATCAAAGCGACAACTTTAGTAGTGTTCTTTATTGAAGATAAATTGCAACTTTACTGTAGAGAAATTAGTTATTTTGAAGTAGCAGACATGATAAATGAACAATGCTCTCACAGGGACTTGAACCTGGACCTCTCGATTACGCGCCGAATGTGCTACCGTTACACCGCGAAGGCATACAGAAAGGAAGAAGAAAATACCTTAGATTATTTGCGGAAAATAGTCGACAGTAAAAATACGTAAATATGTAATTTTGCTGGTTAATTCCACGTATTGCTGAAATCCTGAAAACGAAGTATGAAAGTATGAAAATTTTAATCTCCTTTTCAGAAATAAAAGCTTTCCATTACGAAAATAACCATTCTGTTCATCATTGGGATATGGTAAATTTGTGTGTTAGATTTGCACTGAGGGACCTTCAGGTGGGCAAATTCTGAGATTTTCTTCCTAGTGTTTAGGCTATGTTTCATCCACCTTGCTTTATGGGGTACTTTCATAAGCTTTATAATTCATGTTTAACTGCTTGGTCATTCTTATTTCGGTATTCGGAACATTTCCAATGATGTTAGGATACTTGGGGTGTTGTTTTCAGTATTAAAACCCTCGTTCGAGAAATCCACCCGATCATCCTCAGAAACTTCCAAATGTTTGCATCATCAGGTCCGTTGAATATATCGTCCTTGCGTCACCTCGCTAATGCGTTCAGTTTTCATTATAGTGAAAACTAATAGTAATTCTCTTACAGACATGATGAAACTAAAATATATTCAGTAAGACAAATATTGGTTACAGAAATCCTAGAAACGTTTCTAAAGTATGTTCTTGAAATGCCGTTTTACAGCTTTTTTGAAGTAAATGTCTCCGTTTTGACCTAATTAAAAGGAGATAAGTATACCAAGATGTATCAAGATATGTCTGTGAAAATAAGATCGTTGGCCTTCCGTGCTTTTATAACACGTGTATTACTTTGACTGCTAAGGTAGTTGCCCGGATGTAAATGTTGTATTTTTTGTCGTAGTAAAACAATTGCAGCTTCACACAAAACTGAATAAAATGGAATAAAACTTTTTAAATAAATATATTTTTAATACATTTAATAAAACATGTCTAATTATAAACAAATACCTTTTAATAAAACATGTCTTGAAACATGTATATATTTTTATAAACCATTCATTTGGAAACTAGAATTAATTTCATAAATAAATTTATCAATTTTCACTTTCAAATAAATTATAAGTGACTGCAAATGAAACTGATTTTATCAATAAAACTTAGTGAAAACGTGTAACAAACTGCAAGACAAAAGAGTTCCTTTGCATACGTTACTCGCTAAAGAAAATGGTGTAATACATGGTATTAGACGACTAGCTAAACAAAGACATTACCATCATAGTTCAAGTAATATATTAATTGAAATTGGATCCCATATTTAAGAACGCTTTTGTCTTGCAGTTTGCGATACATAAAAATGAATAAAAGAATTTCGGAAGAAAGTGGTACCTGGTAACTAATTTTAAAAAAATATTTTTGATTCAAAGATATAAATATAGCAAAGATATAAATATAGCTAACTATTTACAGGAATTTCTAAGACAAACTGTGAAGTATTTCCTTCACCCGAGAAAACCCTGTGCTTCTAGCTCATTAATCCGCCCCGTCGAGAGTAAACTCATAATCAAATATTTGTATTTAGAGAATTTAACCTCTCACTTTAGCAATGGCTCTAATACTGGAGCAATTTTAATTCTAACTATGGGTTTTCTAAATATGGAGAAGAGTAATGTTATGAAAGCAATGCTTGAGTCAAAGAAATGATCGTATTTTGTAATTTACTTAACTCAAAACATAAGAAAATTATGAAATTGAAATCTATCAAACAAATACGTAATCACCTCGGACAAAGTAATGCATTTCCCTAAATAAACATATACACGATAACATTATGCTGTTCCTGTTTGTATTATTCTAGACAATAAATTATTTACATGAATAATTGCCAAAGAAATAAGTGGTCACTCAAGGAAATCGTGAATGTCAAGTAATCGTTTTTTTTTTTTTTTTTTTTTTTTTTTTTTTTTGTCTTCAAAGCTCAGCTAATGGCCTCCAAATCCAATGTTTCTTCCCTGACATAGAGTGATGCTTCATGATGGGCCGGCAGATTTGTTGAGGATCTTGGTGCAAATTCTAATATTTAGTTCCTGAATATTTACTGGAGACTGCCTCACACTTGTATGCACCAAAGCAAGAATACTTAAATTAATGAAAGTAATGAAAATATCAAATTAAAGAAGTATAAATCAATTTACAAACGAGATACTGAATGATTATTTTGTTTAATATACTATACAAACTTAGCCATATTAAAAGTTTATTTAGCATGACTTTTTATATTATTTAATGAAGTTTATATTATTCATAATAAGTTTCCTTAAAAATAATAAACTTTGGCGTTTGAAGAAATGCGAAAGCATTTGTACTTTTGTTTCTGAAAATCAAGTAATTATGAGGAAAATATTCATTTAGCATGATTTTCATTTTTATATAAAGACGTTTCTTAAAAATAATTCATTTAGGTATTTGAAAAATGCGTAAGCATTTGTATTTTAGTTTCCGAAATTCAAATAAGAATAATTAGTTTTGTAATATAGCTGAAGCGAATTTTGAATAATCTAGTTTAATAGTCTAATGTCTTAAAATGAAAGCTGTCTACATACTTTGCATGCTGTGTATTAATTAAAATGGAAATTTATATATAATGCAAAAAAATTCATTTGAAATTTTTTAATTTGTAGATCCTTTTAAGGGGTATCAGCAACCACTATACCGACAATGTTAAATTGGCCATTTTCGATGTACCTTTTCTCAAAATATGCTGTAGATACACGCTTGAATTTTTTTGTGTAATTAAAGTATACCTGTTTGACTATACTAAAATGAGCAATAGAAACATTTTGAATTTTAGAGTAACTTACAGAATATTTTGTTAGGCATAGTAAAATTTAGCACTTTTCTCACACAAAGTTTATCAAAAAAACCTCATTTCAGTAAATATTAGGAAACCTAATAAATAAGCCATAAAAATTTTAGGTACCTGTGAGTAGAAGTTTCTGAGAAAAGGTACATCGAGTATAAAAAAAAAAAATCACGTTTGGAGAAAAACTCGTATTTATGTAAAAATCCTCATTGATCAAAGCATTCGATGACAAATTAAAACTAGATATTTTACAGTTCTAAATTTCATAGAGATTAAAGAATGGTATTTTTAGAAAGATAAAAGTGAATTCGAAAATGCAAATATCCGAAATTACAATTCTTTGAAGATTTTTGGGTTCCAATACCCCTTAAAAGCCTGAATATGAGTTTTAGCTGAGCAAAATATAATAATTTTAAATGTTTCCAGCAGCCGCTTCTTTTCGATTCGGATTTATTTTCAAATATACGGAATAAAAGAAACTAAGATTTTAATCTAGTATCTCGAATATCTGACCACTGAAGTTTCAAGATAAGAAATCATAAGATTGAAAGCAAATTGTATTCACATGATGTTACTCAGCTCTTATGCCTTGTGAGGCTTATCTATTTATTTTTAACTAATAAAAAATTTAAATTTTAGTACGTTCCTATTACTCTATTTTCACCCACGCGTTTCATGCTCGAATGTAAATAAGATAGCGAGCGTTTATGCAAATTATGATTTGATTCAGTGGCGTTCAGTTCTTCTAGCCATTTGGCTATTTGGCCCGTTTTCTATAAATCGTAGCCTTTCCTGTGCGTTAAATTATTATCTGAGCCGTTAGTCTAATCTACCACATTTGAAATTGTTGGGCGTTGCGTATTACTTTTAAGGCAGAAGTGCTTGGTTTGTGTAAACTTGTTTGTGTAAATTCTTGGTTTCTGTAAGTTGGGTAATTGGTAATTTTTTGTTTGAATTCAATGGTCTTATACACGCTTCTTTTTGACTTTGTTTTATTTCAAAAGGCTAGAAGATAATTCTTCAAATACCCTTTGTAAAGTCTATAGTATATGCTCCCTAAGTGAACTAGACTTTATAACCTGAAACTATTTTAAGCTAGGCAATTACTACATGAAAATTAATTTCAGAATTAGTCCCTTCTAGAAATTAAAGAACAAAAATGTTATATTTAAAATGATTTCTGCAAAATTGCAAAGCGAAATTGTACTTTAAAACGTTTTTATGATATTAAATTGTTATAATCGGAGAGTTTTACATTAGAGTGATAAAGAACAGACTTAATTACTTAAGTATGGCTGTGCATTAATTTCACTGGACAGCTAGAGCCAGAACCTTGCAACAAATAATTTTCTCAACAAACAGTCCTGTGCTTTTCCATAACGCGAATCCTGAAGAATTTTAAATAGAAAGGTTTTCTCCTAGGTGTTTTCAGATTAAGAAAAAGTTACAAATTTATACAATGTTTATAATAATCACCTATATCAAGGTTAGTTTATTATCTCATCTGCATTAAGAAATAACATACATAACACCCATAATAATTGCTCAAAAATGAAAATCATAGTATCTAATTTTGTTTAATTAAGCAAAATATTTTATTTTAGTATTGATAAGAGATTTTTTTTTAGTTAAGGAAAAGTTTCCTCTTTTATTTTAAAGCTTATTTAAAGCTTATTTTAAACCTTATTTTTAAGCTTTTCACTAAGCCAAAACGTTGAGCTTGCTCATAACACAAGCAAGCTGAAAGTTATTGATTAGTCCATGTTCAAGTATGAATTGCTGTTCTAACGCATCACTTCGAAACCTTACTAGATCTGTAACTCGGATGCTTCTGAAATTCTATCGTCTTGACATCACTGTCACTTATGGAGCACTCTATTGAGAACTTTGAATGTGCTTTAGTAGCAGCACATAGTAATCACAACAGCACTGGTACTTTGTTTGTAGGACGCATGAATTTAGTTTTGCTTAAATATTACAACCTAGAAAATTCAGTTGGGTTTAGGGCCTGTTGTAGGTTCTTCACGGTCTAAGCAATGCTTCCTCTGATTTCTTATACCTTTCCTACATGTAGTAGACCATTAAAAATTTGCCCAATGTTTCTGAACAAGTCTTAAACAATTCGCATGAATAACACAAATTTTAAAATTGTGTTATTTATGCGAATTTGTGTTAAACAAATTCGATACTTTTAAACGTTTTTGTGTGATTTTTTTTCTTATCATTTACAGATCCAGGCGATTGGAACTCGAACCTAGCTGTGAAGTGTACCAGTTAATTACAGCGACTGCTTTGGATTTCTAAATATACTCTCTTTAGTCATAGTCTCTTTAGACTTACTCTCTTTTTAGTCCAGTCTACTCTTTCTAGTCTTACGAAGCAGACGAGGAGATATAACCTCAATGAAGCTTTTGCCAAACATTTTGGAATTGGTTTTGTGACAGATACGTTTGCGAAAACGTAATGCATTCAGTACTGATTTTAAAAATGCACATATATATATAACTTTACTCACAAAGACTTTTCTTAAATACGCGAAATCTATTGCACATCATTAACTACAAGAGCCAGTAAAAAGCATTTTAAAATAATGATTAAAATCCCTACTTGAAGAATCTAAAGAGTTATTGAAATGAATAATATAATAACGTCAATGACATTTTTAGAATGTTTCAGAGCGAACTATAATTCGCTGATCCATCTAATAGGACTTTCAGATAGTATGACACTATGAGAACACTATAACCGAAGCTTAATTGTCTTGCACCAAGCTCTGTGATGGTTCCACTGTTTGTGTGCCCCAGTTCTAAGATGTCAAGTTTCTAGAACTCAGGCTAACCCTATGAAAACTTTCGGATACAATTTAGATACCCTGAGAACGTTAATGAAACCATCCAGTAATTTTGACGGTAGTAGTTCGGTTTTAACGGTAGTAATTAGGTTCGCAGAAAGCTTAAACGCACTTCTTTATACCCGTAGAAGAAGTAAAGACATCGGAAAATATCCTGCTAGGTGAACTGGGTAGGGGGACTTATATATTTAACGTATTCGAAGCTGTAGTTTTAAGAATATTTTCTGTGTTCGAAGAAGTGTCAAATTAGATCACAGCTACCAGATAATTATCAGATGAATGGGGATGAATTAATCTGATTTCATTTCGAGAAAAGTTCAGTATGGGAAAATGCTATATGTCAGGAAACCAATGCAGAAATTATAAGTAATATTGCTCGTAAGAACAACTGTTTGATTTGGTTGCGCAATTTGAAAGTAGCTGTGTTATGGGTTGGGGAGATTGAGAAGAAATATTTAGCCAGGGCTTCAGAAAGTCTGTAATCGGAAGAGGTGATAAATTTCACGAAAACTTTTCGTGTTCGTTAATGGTAATGGCCGAGAGAAAACATAATTAGTTTCGATAAAAGGAAAAGCGTTGTTGATAACGAGAAACCTTTAAACTCGTTATGAGTAATATTGGTCACAGTGGTCAGTCATCTCCGAATTATTAAAAAAAATCTCTTAGTTTTAGTTAAATAGGATTTTAGTTAAAATTGTTCAGCTTCTAAACTTCCAAAGTGTCTTGAATATGTAGAATGGTTTGGTTCAAATGTGCAAGCTGAAAATGAGCAGTATAAGTTAGTACTGTTCGCGGTTAGAAATTTGCAGCCATGTGTGATTTTGGCTATGGCAAAAGCTGATACGAGAACTGTTTTCAGGAAGAGGTGGTGCAGTTGGATATTAGCAGGTTAAATAAGAAAGAGGTACGGCCGGACCTCTTTAGGCTTGGGTGAAATAAATCCGGAAAAGAAGAAAAAGTTGTAACATTCGGTAAGAAATCGTTTTGATTTATTTGACAAGACCCCAGGGTTAAACTCATGTGAAGAGTTATGAAAATCGAAAGGAGAAACAATCTCGCGTGTAAAGTAGAAACCTACAGATGCAATGAACTTAAAGAAAAAATACTAGAAAAGTATATTTCAAAAATGTTACAAAGCAAAATAATAATTGTTTCTGCGCAAGCGCTATAGGTCTATGCAGGCAGAAAATATTTTATTTCCAACCTTAAGGCTTTGCTTTAAGGCCTTCCTTTTAAGGCCTTGCTTTTCCCTGTGGACTAGAGAAAATTTAATAGTATGTCAAAGTATCCCGTTTACACTTTATCAATAGTTGAAAAAATAATTCGAAACAAAAATCCACATAATATAGAACCACACTAGATTTCAAGACTGGAGATTTCCAGATGAGAGAGGAAGCTTGAGTATACCTAAAACGGCATTT